GTGAAAATTCAAGGATAATTTTGGTACTTTTTAAAGGTGAAGGATAATTTTGGTACCAAAGTGTAAAGTTGAGGGACTAAAATGGTACTTAAACCATAAATTAATCAACAGCAACTCATTGTGTATGAATTTAATCAGAAATTAGTGAGAAGTTAAAGAGGAGACGATAAGAGTAAAGAGAGCAAAGACTTTTTGATAAAAATGCAAATGCAATGAATGAAAATGAACCAGTCTATTTCAAATCTCAATTGCAATTTCACACGCAATTCAGGGAAAAAAAATTTTTTTACAACATTTTTTCGGTAAATGAAATTGACTGAACAAATGCTAGCATATCTACTTTGCAGATTCCAACTTTATTCGGTCAGTCCCACTGACCGAAACTAGCAAGAATATATCTCAAGCTATGCACATTTCCATGTGGAGCAAGGGTGATTTTTTTCAGGCATGTTTCGGTCAGTGGGACTGACCGAAACAACCATGAATAAATCTGTAGCATGTAGGTGAAAGATTTTTGCAAGCATGTTTCGGTCAGTCCCACTGACCGAAACACGCATGGGAGATCTGCAAATTTGCATAACTCCCATGCGTGCACAGGAAAATAATTCCCTGTCATTTTTTTGAAGTAACTTTTTTTAACCAGCGAATCTGAAAATTTTGCTATGCAGATTTACCATGCATTTTTCTACAAATTTTGTAGATTTGCATCATTTGTACATTCAGTTCAATTGACCAAGAAAATCATTTTTTTTTGCATGTTTTAGTTCGGTCATTTTTTATGACCGAATTAGTGAATTTTATACTAATTTGTTATTATTTAGCACAGGAATTTTTCTTTTGTATTATTCGGTCAATGTGCTTGACCAAAATTATTTTATTTCGGTTAATCTCATTGACCGAAATCACTTGAGACCAAACTGCATGTCTTTCTCCATTTAATTCAGTCGAACTTAGTTTTCAGTCATTATATATGACTGAAATAATATGCTTTTCGGTCAAAATAATTACTTGACCAAAATATATGGACCAAAAAAGGCACTTTTTTTAGTAGTGAGTGAGTCAAAGATGCTATCTTTTGGCGGACAAGGTTGAGTGTCTTGAAGGAAACCATCAAACCGTACAACTTATAAACATGGAGGAATTAGATAAATTGTTTGCTCCAACTGGGATAGTTATCAAAGGTAATTAAGTTTAATAGTGAATTAGGCTGAAAACATTGAAAGCTATCGAATTGTTTGTTGAGGTAGAAAGATCCAAGTCTCCAGTTGCGGGGGTTAGTTACAACCATTTTCCTTCCGGTGTTTGATTTGGTCGATTTGATTGATTTGGGGGATTGTTTGGCCATAGTTCATATATAACTCTTGTTCATCCTGCGGGACATGTGTGTTGGGTAATTAACGACGAGGGTTGATTTGTATCTTTCGAGAGGTTTCAAGGTTAATTTACATTATTTGAGGGGTTTGAGATCTTATTTGTACCAGTTTTAGTTTAGGGACTCAAGTATTAATTTAGTATAAGTTTAGGGGCTTAATAGGGATTTTACCATAAAAAGACATGCCTCAAATCCCTAAAAGATATGAGACACAAGTCCACACAACAAACCCGACCCATTTCCTAACCAATCCAATCCATTGCGTAATTTGCGTTGCTGTCCCAACTCAACAACCAATAACGAAGAAAAGATAAAGGTGAGGGAGTGGTAAAGAAAGGGAAAAACATTTTACAAGCTGCTTTCACTTCATCATCCTCAAGGCTCGAGCTTCTCCTTTGCTACAATGGCGATTGGTTTTGCCCTA